TCGCTGCTCTGCCTGCAGCTTCTCTGCAGCCAGGGATGCGGCATCGGCTCCGGGGTACCGGCCTGGGCTTCCTCCTCGTTTTCCACATGAGCAGATGATGCAGAAGGACCGACCTCTCATTTAAAGCTGCTCTCGTGTTTTTCCATGCTGGGGGTTGTCCAGTAACGTTTGCTTTCTTTCTTTGTCTCCAACCAGATCGTGGCTGCTATATTTGCTATTGCAGGGATAGTTATGATGACGTACGCTGACGGGTTCCACAGCCACTCCGTCATTGGGATAGCCTTGGTGGTGGGCTCTGCCTCAATGTCTGCTCTCTACAAGGTAAGCACACCTGGGTCTCCCCCGGCAGAAAGATGCCAGTCACCCCATCACTCGCTTCAACTGCTCCTGTCTTCCTTGCGAACCTTCATCCAGATCAGTGCCACGTGCCCTTCTCTGCGGGGCGCTGCCATGAGCACGCTGACTCTGCAACGCCGCGTTCAGGTATTCGCTTGCTTTGATGTCTGCCCTCGCTTAGGATAAAAACTCCCATTCCCTGGGAAGGGTCTTCTCCAGTGCCCACAGGAGGACTTACAGACGCCCCACCTCCTTGAAAAATGAGGCTGCTTTTCCATGGGTGCTGGATTCAATCACTCGCTCTGGAAGCGCCCTGCAGAGATTGAGCTTCTTTTTCAAGTCACTGTGTGTGTCCTTCCTCCTTGCCAGTCCTCCTTCAGCGTCACACGTGGCCTACACTGGGCTTGGAGTATTGCTTATCACGGAAATAACCATGTGCTTAAAACCCAAAGCACGTGCTGATGAGTCAAGGTCTCATCCTGAGCAGCTGGGTGAGCTGCACTCTGTGTAAGGCGACGTGCAGCCTCCTCTGCTGGGCAGAGCCACTCCACTTAGCCTGAGACACGTATGTGCGTTTGCCTCCGTGCTGCTTGTGGTGCTCGGTCACGGTCCTCGGGGAGGAATATGCACTCGTAGGGCGCGGTTCCCCCACCCCAGCTCAGACGTGGAGACTGGGATGAGGTGTAGATGTCTCCATCTGGTCTAATGAGTGGCACCGTACGGGTCCTCCAGCAGAAATTGGCCAGGCAAGCCCTGCAGCCTCAGCACAGGCAATCCAGGGAGACTCGCCGAACTGAGCAGCATCCGTCTGTGTCCCTCAGCGCTGTGCTGCAGTGCTTTCTGCTCACTTTTTCAGATCAGCCTATGTCTGACGTAAGCGAGGTCACAAAGTTTTGTACAGCTCTTTTTTCCTCTAAAAGAGCATTTTCTTCCCAGGCCCAAGGGAACGTCATGGCTCTGAGTCACCTGCAAGGCAGGATCATTCAAGGCTTGAGCCTAGCTCTGTCCCCTCTCCCATGGCACCGCTGCTTCTTGAGGGACAGAAGGTCTCAGGGCTGCTCCACCAGAGCCCGTGCATGGGGAGGTGACGGTGGCAGTGCCGGCAGGACGTTACCCTGCGTGCGAGGGGAGATGGAGCTGTGCAGCTTGTCCTCCAACGAACGCCGCTGCTGCTGCTGTTGCCACGCTGCTCTTGCTTCCCGCAGCCTGGCTCCATTTCCAGGAGCTGTGCGTGCCGGAGGGGCAGGCGGATCTGCGGGCAGAAGAGCTGTCCCCCGTGCTGTGCAGATCTGAGGGCAGCCGAGCTGTGCCAACGTGCCGCAGAGCCGCCTCGACCTGCCCTCCCTCTCTCCCTCCCTCCCCAGACATGGACGCTGCCCGCCCTGCCAGGGGCAACGCGCCGTCCTCGGGTGGCAAATGAGGAGTTGGTGGCTTTTGGGATGTTTTGCTCCAGGATGCAGAGCCGTCCACGCAGCTGCGCAGGCCAGCGATGGCTGCGGAGTGGTGGGGGGGGGGGGCAGGCCCGGGGGGCCGAAGGGAAAGGACAACTGGCACTAATTAGGCAAAGGGAAAGGACAACTGGCACTAATTAGGCAAAGGGAAAGGACAACTGGCACTGGCGAGGGGGCCTGCCATCCCAGCACGAACCAGTAAGAGTCCATCAGCTCTCCTGGTCTGCAGCCCATGCCAGGGGAAGGCTGTACCCAGAGCCCATGGGATCCACTGGACCCTCTGCAGTTCTGTGGTGGAAAACTGGTGCAGACTCCAGCCCAGACCCATCCGCTGATGGGACTGATGGTGGTCTCATCATGGAGATGAGGGACTCACACAGGGAGATCGCACATGTTGCTTCCTCTCCTCCTCCTGCCCTGCTCCACCAAGTCTTCTCATTTTAATGTCAAATTTTCTGCAGAATGGAGAGGGCTGGGGCACTCACGCTGCTCCCTGCAGCTTCACGAGCAGCCGTCACATGTGCCCAGCCCGCATCACCACAGAGGCGCTGGCTGACACGGTCAGCACCCAGCCCCTCGGCACCCAGCCAGGACGCCGGAGCCACCAGAGCCAGGACACCAGCCCTCCAGAGGAGCGGTGCGAGACAGATAAACCCATGTGTTTTCCTCTTGCAGGTTTTATTCAAACTTCTTTTGGGCAGTGCTAAATTCGGAGAAGCTGCCTTATTCCTGTCCGTGTTAGCTGTCTTCAACGTCCTCTTCGTTACCTGTATTCCCGTCATCCTTTATTTTACCAAAGTGGAGTACTGGAGCTCATTTGACGTCGTTCCTTGGGGAAACCTCTGTGGATTTTCAATTCTCTTATTGAGTGAGTAGACAGGGGGGTTTCACACTGCTTGGGGTGGAGGAGGGTGCCAGAAACTGGCCACTGGTGGAAGCTGCAGACCTCTGACACACTGGAGCTGCCTTCCCTTCTTCTCAACCTAATTATTGGCTTGAGAAGTCATGCAGAGGGTCCATTCCTAGGTGGCCATGTAGACCCTGCTTCTGCTTTTACTACCAAGCCAAAATATTGTGTCCCTCCTTAGAAGGTGCTGTGAGTCTGAACTGTCAAGCTTGTCCTAGCTCCTACTCATGAACTCTACCTCACAGGGACGAGCCACCCTTGCCCAGGCTGCAGTGAAGGCATCCCCATGGGCAGGGCATTGCCTTGGCTCAGCGGCATCCCCGTCAACAGGGCGTTGCCTTGCCTCGTCGGCATCCCCACTGGCACTACCAGCCTGGGAGGGTGCCAAATCCAAGCTTCAGTGATGCATGGTCATCAGAAATGTGACGCTGTTCCTTGTTAAACTAGATGTGTTGACTGCACTGCCGCAGTTGGCCCCTCAACTGGATGACAGCCTTACATCTCCTAAAACTTTCATTTCTACTGGAAATAGCCCTTCTCCATCCCCATCTTGAGCCCCAGCTCCTTTTCCTTGAACAGCCACAACACTTGGCTCTAGAAGTGCCTCCAGTTAACTCATCAGTGGACTTCATGGAAGTTTTCTGTACAGCAGTAGTGCAGAAGCTGGCAAGCCATCGCTGGGGTGTGCAATGTGTAGGTAACAGTCAGAGCCCCAGCTGCTGACAAGTTCACTACGGGCAAAGCTCTCCTGACTTTGCTAAAGCTTAAAAACAAGGCTAAACCTTAAAACAAGGGTGAATTTGGTCCAAAGCAATTATTAATTTGTGATAAGACACTCCATGAGCAGTGTATGGTATTACAGTGGAGTGAGATTACAATCAATCATCTGTAATGATATTCTAATAATATTATCATTTCACTATATGAAATTATATTTAGCCAGTCCCTGACTGGAAGAGGGTTAGATTTACAGGATCGCCCACCTGCAGCCGGAGGCAGCTTTTCGACAAAAATGTGTCCGGGCAGCAGTGACTGTTTGGCTGGAATGGCCCAGATGAAAAGAGTTCGGTCTCTCAGCGGGGCAAGGCGGACCGGTACAGGGAGTGGGAATCGCTGCGCGTGACACTGAGACAGGCTGTACCCACCCGGTCCTGCCACGGGACTCCGGTGGGATACAGCATTCCCTGGGAACAGCAGTGGCTCAGGCAGACGGACGTGCGGCAGACAGACAGCTGTCCCCAGGTGTCTTCCAGGAATAACAACAGAAGTTAACATACCTTCTATATGAACAACATACAGAGGGAGTAATAACGCCGATCTGTATCAAGTGACATTCCCTCTGCCTCATTTCACTGTAGTAAAACCTGTTTTTCTTTCCTTCTTCAGCATTCAATATTCTACTAAATTTTGGAATTGCGATTACCTACCCCACCTTGATTTCTCTTGGAATTGTACTGAGTGTCCCAGTGAACGCAGGTAAGAATTTCTGCCTTGCCCCTTAATGAATACATTAAACATGTGGCCTTTCAACTACACAACAAGAATAAAAGCAAATAGCTTTATTAAACATTTTGCATCTTCTCTCAAAGACTTACAAAGATTAAAAATGTATACTTTATGTGTTAAATATGTATTGTATATCATCACATGAATAATCACAAGCTCTAGAATTTCTTTTTAAATTACTGTCCGAAGAAGCCAGGATACTGGAAAACAAGCTAGATTTGGAAGTCATCCATCTCCGGGCTGGGGTGAAAACTCATGGATGAGTAGAAATCAATACTTAATGGTTTCTGGATGGTTTGGACTTGATGATCTTAGAGGTCTTTTCGTTGGAAAATGATTCCATGATTCAAGGCAGGCTTAACACTAAATTGAAACAAATAAAAGTGCTTGCATTTTAGAGCAAACCATGTGTTAGTAATTCTGCTTGCCTTGGTAAATAACACTGCAGGTGTTTCAATTCAATTGCAGGCATGGCCTCAGTTTTCTGAACTTCAGTGGAGGCCAAGAGACCGGCTGGAACGGCAGGCGCTGGCACTGGACGATGTAGTCCCCACCTTGCTGCGTGCACGGCTCGGCGTCTGCAGGGCTTCTGGCTCAGCGAGGCAGTCAGGGGGAGAAAAAAAACTTGCAGGAAGGAGCTGCCGTGCCAGGGAAGGGAAATGTCCCTTTCCCTCTGTACCCAGAGCTCAGCGGGATCTCCTGTGCTGTCGGCGAGCAAGGGGGACGATGCTGCTGCTGCAGGCAACCCCTGCAGCTCCAGGCATCGTCCCCTTCTGCTCCCTGAGCCCGCAGGCCAGCTCCGCCTGCTCTGAAGGGGCCTAAACCCCTGCCACCATCGCCTCCACGGCCGTGTTCTCCTGCCCCAGCCAGCCTTCAGAGCCGGAGCGCGAGGGGGAGGGGAGGGGGTACTGCCCTGATGCCTTGTCTCACGTAGTAACACCCGTTCAATGTCCCACACAGTTGTTGATCACTACACGAGTGAAATTGTCTTCAACAGTGTCCGAGTAATCGCCATCGTCATCATTGGCCTGGGCTTCCTCCTGTTGCTCTTGCCGGAGGAATGGGACGTCTGGGTGATCAAGCTCCTGACGCGTCTCAAGGTCCGGAAGAAGGAGGAAATCCCCGAAGGCAACGGAGACATCGCTTCAGGACTGCCTAACAAAAGCCGGAGAACTCGCCCCTCCATGTCATCCTTTGCTCATTAAATGCTCTTTTTACCAAAACTTTGCGGTTAACATTATACACGATGATGCAAAGGTCTTTTCTTGGGAAGAAGCACACCTGTCCAACACGGTGTACATACCTGTACAGTTTTGATATGATCACCATCTAAGGCATCGAGTCTTGGCATGTCCAGTTTGCTTGTACTTTTTTCACATCAGACCTTTCACTTAAATAGTACACTGAAAAAAAACCTGCAAACCAAGAACCTCTCTTCTCTTTTTAAATGAATGTAATATATAGTCAAAATATATTTGCATAGGTTATTTTAAAGAATGATTTTCATGAAAAGCAGGGCAGGCATTTTGAACAGTAGGAACCGAATGATGCATTGCACACTGTGATTTAAAAGAAACAAACGCTATGCTACATCACACGTTTATTTTTGACCAGAGCTGTATTTTGAAAGTTTTCAAGGAACCAAAAGGGAATCTTTTGGGGGATGGGAAGATGGCGGGGGAGGATAGAAGGAAGGAGGTTTGGAAACCACTCTATGTAGATGAGCGCACGTTGCGCTGCAACCAAGAGAAAATTCAAGCACTAAAAATGCTTGCACTAAAGCACTAGAGATAAAGCAGTTTAGAGCCCAGATCTCCTTATTCTGCACGACTGTAGTCCATGTTTAAAATCATGCAAGAGAAATCCAGTGCCTTCTACACAACTCTTGTCTTTACCCACGCAGAACCAGGTCCCACCGCGAGGCTCTTGCAATGGCAGCCCTGGGGGACCCCAAATTCCCACCGACATCAGGACGTGCCCCTCGTACGCCCCGTGGCTTCGGGAACGCGGGGCCCAGGGCACGACAAGCCCATGCGCAGGAGATCTGGTTCTCTTCTCACTTGCACAGGTCGTACCCCTGCGTGGAGCTGCGCCTGAGTAACGCCAGGGTGAGGAGGGGGAAGTCTTGGTCATGTGTGGGACAATCCACCCAAAAATGGTCAAAGGGGCCGGCAAGAGCGTGGCTGCTGATGTACAGTCTGAGAGCACGGACTGAGGGGGTGAATCGCCAGTTGCTTTTACTCCATAATTGTGAGTGTTAAAAGTTAAAAACGTAAGGTATTTACATCAAATGTAACACTTTTTATGAAACTTGTAAGCACCAGGATGTTTACTTACGCGATTTTGGTTCGCCATTAAATTTCTATCTGTGATAGATCACATGCTATGTAAAAATGGGGAGGGGAAAGGTTATAGTTTACTATTTTTGAAGTTTACATTGTTGCATACAAAATTCAAAGTGTTCTTTTGAACTGCTGCCATAGCCTAAGGGTCCCTGCTGCCACTGAGGCCCTCTTTGTCTCAGGCAGGGGTGGCATCCACTTCAAAACATTTTAGCAAATCAACTTCAGATTCCATTATCTGTTTGGCAAAGCTGAATAATAAAAGATTTTAAACTCAGCCTTGGTCAGTGCTATCTGTTACCTTCTCTTGACGGCACCTTTATTCCTGTTGTACTGTGGGTAGCACGTGGCCAAAGCAATCCGAAAGGAGAGACAAGACCATCCAAGCAACCAAGGCTGCAGCTGATGCACCGTTTGCCAGTCTCTCCTCGGCGGCAAAGTCCGCTCAAGACCCCTGGACAAATCCGTCCGGAGGGCTGATGGCAGGTGTCAGTCAGGAAACACAGGGCCAGCAGAAGCAGACCAAAGCAAAAGCTGACCTTCCTTCAAAACCATTGGTGAGCAGCCATACACGCATATGCTAACAGCTATTTAAGGGCTAGGGATGGGACACGAGTTCGTAAGTTAATAATTAGGCCGTAGTCCAGGCCGTTCCTGTTGTTGTTCCCTGTATGTTGTTCCCTGCGCAGCTCCGCATGGCCAAGCAGACGCTACAGACTTGCTAACAGAGATTACACACACACGCACAAAAATCTGAGGCTGTGGGAAGCTGCTTGCAACCCCTGTCCCTTTCAGGGTTACACATCTGAATATTTAAATCTATTTCTTTGGGAAGCAGGAGAGGGTAAGGCACAGGGCAGGAGCACGGGTACAACTCCAGTAACGGGTTTGCTGGGCACACACAGACTTGATCTCAAAGGTCCCAGTTTAAGAGTTTACTCCATCTTCAGGCATATCATTTCGTCATCCCCAGAGTACCCCACGCCCCTTCCCAAGCCCCCTGTCCGAGGCAAGGCCAGGGAAGAATGTACAGACAGTACTTCCATTTTCCACAGTTCCTGGAAGTGCCATCTCCTGTCATCTCTGCGCTCCATTTTACTGTGTGTTTGGTGCAGTCTGGTCGGTATCCAAAAGGCTCTAAACGCCACTTTAAGAACTGCGACTAACATGGGTTTAGTACTAAAACGGCAGCAGATTTTTTAACATTCAGTACGGACTGGGGGGTGGAATTTATGCACCAGAATGGACAGCAGCATCACTAAAACTCGGTGATTTACCAGATGCAACTGTCATTGCTTCTGTTGGCTCATCCTTCCCGAGAACATGCTAAAGGCTGGGATCTCAAGCAGCACTTTATTACAATCTCTCTCCTGAGTGGGAGCTGAGCTAACTAGATTTACCCACGTTAAGCCATTCTAAACTACAAGTAAACAAATTAAGCAGATAAAGTGACCTGTATTTCTTCAGGAAACACCTTGCCTTAAACACTTGACTTGGCAGCGAGCAGCTGCTCAGTAAAACCTTCCAGTGGAGCCCAGGATGTGGCTAGGAGAATGTCAAAAAAGCAGCATGTCCACATTGGTACGTGCATGCACCTACAAATGCCAGAGCTTCCCAGATCTGAAGCTGAGGAATGAAAGGAACTGGAGTCGTTGCCTCACACCAGAAAGACAAGGCAGAGAGCACACCCTTCTGAGAAAGCATTAGATGTATCTGGGCCACCCTTCAGGTGAGGGCAAGATTGAACTCTCCTGATCTTGGACTGTTGAAGGACTCCCAGGACAAATTCAGTGCCTTGGAGGTGAGGGCTGAGTCGTGGCCGGCTCCCCGGCTTGCCCTCATCGGCCAAAGCACTTTGTGCAACCTCTGCAACAAGCCTGGAACCAGCCCACCCTGGGCCACCTCAGGTCTCCTCCTGAGGCAGAACTGCAGGTCCCTGCAGCATCAGGCCGTGCTGCCTGGTGTCTTTGAAGCTGGTCTGCATCATCACTGCATGGCCCCTGCCCTCGCAGAGCACTGCCAGCCACCACTGCGCACCCTTGTTCAAGGGCTGACCTGGATCCGCAGCTTTCTGCCCCAACTTGGCCCTCACAAAGTGTCTTGGCTCCTCCAGGAAAGGGGGGAACCAGTAATCATCCAGTGGGCTTGTTAAAACAGCAAGCTGAAAAAAAAAAATCTCAGGAAAGTAAATTGCATCACCAGGCCCCATTGCAGCTGCCAGGTCTCGCTGCCGCACAATGCAGCGGTGAGGAATCCAAGGAAGCAACAGTAGTTCTCCCCCTCCCTTGCACGTCTTTCTCCTTGGCCTGTTGTCTGTAGTTGTCTCTGGCTGCTACCTTCACCATAATTTTTTATTGCAGCACTCCACAGTGACTGCATGAGCCTTTCATCAGCGCATGAGTCAGAGCTGGGCTTGTTTGAAAAAGTGTCTCCTATTCTTCTGTCTAGGATGGTTGTGTTCATCTCAGTAGTACTCAGAAAATAGCTATGAAAGGTAGAAATCCAACCACAATACTCAACAGATGAACAGAAGACACTGAAACCAACATGAAGCTTTACGGTTTTGAGGGTTGAGGGTAGACTAGCAGGACCTGTAGATCACCAAGTTCTGGGGCTGAAATCACGTCTCCTGTAAGCTTGGGGACCAGTCACTCGCGCCCAGCTCTCCAGAGAGCTCTGTAACAAAGCTAGTGCAATATTGAGTTGGTCGGGGTTCATACAGACAGTATCTTCAACCTATAGGGAAGGTGACATCACCAGGTAGACACCATTTCCGGTCAAAACCTTTCTGCTACTGTACCTGCAGGCCTGCAAACCCACTGGGAAGTGAAGGTTTCTCTGTGCAGTGAACAGAGAAGTCTTAATGGACTTGCGTAGCTCTGGATCATATTCCAAATCAACTCACAAGTCTGCACAACAGAAACATATGGAAACACCCCTCCTCTTCGCTGAAAATGATGTCACAGGTCGCCAGCACTTCAGAAGCCCTAGGACTAGCACCAGTCACCCGCCTGGACTACGTGGGCTCAGAAAGCAGGCTGGGACTGGGCATTTCTTCACAGAATGGGGGAAGAACAGAAGCCAGAAACAATGAAGCTGGTATGAAGATGGAGCAAGGGAGAGCTCCTGATGGGATCAGGACAGCAATGCATTTCGGGAAACACTTTACAGGGGAAGATGCCCACCTGCCCCTTGCTACTACTCTACTTTGAAGAAATGAGGTCTGTGCACGTGCTGTAAGTCATGATCTATGGGGAGTTTGTTACCATGTCCCTGACCTGTACTGCATAAAGGATGGAGTCCTTCAAGGCCTCCAAACCTGAGCTATTCCTTGGTGAAGGCCAAGGCTGAGAAGCTTCTTCCACAGTCCAGTCCTCATGCAAGCTGTCTTTGCAGAAACTGCCAGCAGTAATGTATTTTGATGGATGAGTTTAATTAACTCATCATTATTAAAAGAGAAACAATTAGATTTTCTTCTTTAGCTGCTGTGTTCTAGGGCATTTCAGTAATAACCTGCACCTTATCTAAAGTCCTGAACATTAAAAAGGGAAATAAGAAAAAAACGAGCTGAAAGATCTTGTGAAAGCAAAAACGCAGTCAAATGAACAGATGCCCACCTGCAGCCTAAAAATCTTCTAAGAGGAAATCACATTACTAAGGGCAGGGCCGGTAGCTCAGACTAATGTTTCTGAAAACAACAAGCCTCTTATTTCTCTCTTCTACCCGAAACTCTGTTGGAGGGATCTTTATACACGCACAAGACCGTTCTAAAGCAGGCGGCGATCTGTATTTCTCCACGCACATCACAGCTACAGGAGGATGCAACCAGCTTACTGCTCAGCAATGAAGAGTGAAACTTAAGGAGAGTTACAG